TGCGACAGTCGCTTAGGAGTACTGGAAGTTGTGCATGACTTCATCAAATTACTACTTCAATTTAAATTTCTTAGCTTTCTTTTTGAACTTTATTTAGAGTATGAGATTTCGTGAGTGATTGAAAGTTTGCTCCAGCGTTTGATGTTTTTCAGGAAAGCGGATGCCGAGTTGGACCAGATCGAAAAACAAATAAATGAAAGGAAAGAAATTGCTCGAAAGCTCGTTGGGACACATGACGACGCTATCTGTCAAATTTGCCAGCGAACAAAATTTGCCGATGGTATAGGTAAGTGCTTCGTTTGACTTTTCTCTGTTATTTCTTGTTGAAATTATAAATTTAGCTAGCTACCTATGTAATGCAAGTCTGTAAATTTTAGGTCACAAATGTTTTTATTGCCAGCTGCGAAGCTGTGCTCGATGTGGTGGACGATCTCAGAGCAAGAACAAGGTGGTACCATTTTATTTCGAATTCTGGTAGGAATAAATTTCTGAAGAATTTTAGGCAATATGGGCATGCTCATTATGTCAGAAACGTCAGCAAATTCTTGCAAAAACCGGAAAATGGTTTCAACCGGATGAAGCTCAGCACAAGACAAGTAACGCTGGTCGTGAAAGTCCTTCACAGAGTATGAGGTGAGATCTCCATGAATATCATTGTAGACGACTAAGTTGAAAATACAGCCGCAAGACTTCCTGTTAACTCAATAGCTCTGGGTGTAAAATGAATTGTATTGATTTTGGCCACCTTCTCTTTACCTTCCTAAATTCATGTTTGAGCCGAGTTGTGTTCTTTCTCTTTTCAGCCAACATTTTGCTACTTCACATTTCCCTTTTCTTCGCTATCTATTTCGCTGCTAGTTCCTCTTGCCTTCACATATCTCGATAATGTCAGTTTTTTTTATTCTTCTAATTACCGTTGCTAATCTTCTTCATCTTACTTTCGCGTTCGTCCAGGAGACTGATTTATATTCATAGGTAGGAGACAAAAAACGTGCTAACACACTGAGTAATGTGAAGCCTTAGACGTTTGGCTTGCTCGGCAACCTTTGCTAAGCATTTTCATTGCTGTTTCTTAGTTCTTATCGGATCAGTCAAGGAATAACACTGCAAATGTTCACTGGGTGAAACTACCCAAAATTTTGATTCCTATCTAGTCTGGATACAGTTGAAATCACTTAGGATACTTTATTTACTTCAATAAACTTTGAAAGTGATGCTTTCACACCCATAAAAATTACCGTTTGAAAAAGTTCAATTGCTTTTTTGTTTCCAAATCCGTGTGAGTAGTGCATCCCACTATTTGTCTGCTCTTAAAGGTTGCTAGAGGGTAACCAGATGTGGATTATTTTTATAAATCACGTACCACCATATCTGGTTCACTTTGATTTGCTATAAACAGCCAGTCTCAAACCATGAATTCCGTCGAAATTCAGCTCTCATCCATCGTCACCTCATCCATCGCAGCCAGCCAGTGCAGCGGCTGCAGCACATCCATTGCCACATCCTGAAACTGCGGACACGAGTAGAGCAAACAACAAGGTAATACGAATATTTGCGCCGTAAAAAAGCTCCAATGTTTCACCTCTGAAGGCTGCTATGCCGCAGAAGCAAGCTCCTCCTCCTATGTTCCCTATGGGACCAGCTCCTAAACAACAACAGCCGCAAGGTAATTCAGACAAGTATATCCGTCATGTTGTAATTTTCTCGAGTAATTCTAATAAATCTATAGGATTGGGAATTTTTACACAACATCTAGGAGAATCGCCGCGCAGAGAGAGGTCGCCGTTGCGGACGCTGTCTGCGTTTCCTTAGTCGAGCGCTTCCTCATACCCCTTACCGTCCGCTATCTTCCCAGCGCGAACTACCTTAGTCGGACGCGAAGGCGCCTAATCTCTGCGTGCGATGAAATCGGGTACGAGGAAAACGTGTAAAAATTACAGTAATGATGACAAAGATATGACATCAACAATGTGAAGTTTTGCTGATATATGACACATCCTTACAGCGCAGGAAATTCCTACGAATGGTCAACCATCAATGAAAGCAGATGACAGGCACGAGAACATTCGTCGGCAAAGCACTTTGCAAAGGCAACCAAGTCTTTCAGAGGTATGAGTGAAGTTATTGATCTCTTCTTGACCGTAAAATAAACGCATATTTGAACGATTCTCTTTTTATGTCCTATCTTTGGAACAGAATCGATAGCATCCAAGTCTTTATGCGTTTTTTCTTGGATTGCTGGGTTGCCTTCTTATTAGCTGATCAGTTTTCGCCTGAAAAATCAAATTTATTCAAGCCAAAGAACTTTCTTGCAAACTTAGCGGGAGTTATTGTTATCGCCCCAACTTCTTGATCTCACTTTTGTCCGAAATCTGAAATAACTAGTTTCATTATTTTTATTGCCGAATGTTTCCAGATCATTCACTGGTCCATAATAGTGGTGCAGCAAAAAGAGGGATTTTATGCTTCCTTCCAAATTTTGTTATCTAGGTCATCAAGCGATTTTGAATCGAATCTATTTATTGATGAAAATGAAAACACTAATCAGTGCTTCCATACTTCCAAGCGCAATCCTTAGAGCTGCCTATAAAGAGAGTTACTTACAATTTTCGTTTCTGAAGGAGCAACGGCGACAACATGGAAATGGTGGTTCGGCGCAAATGCAAAACGTGTCCTCCCGACAAGATGTGAACCGAGTGGAGCCGCTTGTACAGCAGAGGTATAGACCAAGTTTACAATTTACGTTAGTCTATTGCCTATGGCATTCACTTCGATTCTG